ATATATTCTGTATGAAATATCGGTATGCTTAGGTATTGATGGATGATATTCATGTTTCTATCAATTAAACGTTGATACAATATCTATCCATAATATTAACAGGAGATTCAAAACAAATATATACACATATTGAACAGTATGCTTGGAACAAAATCAATATAAAATATTCATAAAATATAGTTATGCGGATATTGGTTGAGAATATGTAGTGATCATTGAAAATTGATATTCAAGATATATTTAAGGAATATATAAATATTATATCCAACATCAATATGCTGGGATGATAGATGATCATATATGGAATAATGTCGTATTCGAAAGTTTATGGAACAATGATATTCCAATGTGGGGAGTGAATTGAAAAAAAATATTGACAAATATCAAAAATAAAGCTCAGAGCTATATCGAAAACTTATATATAGACAATATAGTTGAATAAATATTGTGATATATCTACAAAAACATATATCTTTTATATTGAACATCAGTATAATGTGATATTGATGAATCCCATTGAATAATGTCATAACTGGAAGTTGATACGAGATAGATAATGAATGAAAGTAGTATATTGATTACAAATATTGACACATATTTAAAATAATGTCGGAAATTATATCGATGGCCAATATTATTACATATATGTATGTGGATATTGGCGAATAATATCTAGTAGCTATTGAGAAAGAAGTCTACAGAAATATCTACAAACAATATCTATAACATATTGAACAGCGCCTTTTCAGGATATTGATAAATCATATTGATTATTCTCACACTTTGAAGTTGATACAACATTCATTTTCAATGCGCGAAAAATGTCGAAGTGAAATATACCTATATATTCAAAATATTGCCCTAAATTATATCTAAGGTAGATATTCACACAATATCATCATCCAGATATTGAATGAGGATATAGAGTGGTTATCCAGGAACAATCTCCACAATATATCTTCAAAAAATTGTTATTTTATATTGAACATTCACGATGATACGATATTAATGAATCATCACGATCAATCTCTCACTTATAAGTTGATACACCTTCGATTCTGAATGTAACGGATACATTGAAAACAAATATTGACAGATATTCAAAATGATGCCAGAAACCATATCGATGGCATATTTTCTTACAATATATATATACATATATGTAGATATTATCAGAAAATATCTAGTAGCATTTGAAAACGAATTTTCCAGAAACATCTACAAACAATATCTGCAACATATTGAACAGCACTTCACAAGAATATCGATGAATAATATTGATAGGGCATTATTACATTATATTGATTATTTTCACACTTCAATTTGATGCAATATTTATTTCCAGTATTGGTAAAACGTTGAAGGGAAATTTACATTTATATACACAATATCGTCAGAAATTATATCGAATGCTCATATCCATACAATATAAGTATTTAGATATTGAATGAGGATAAAGAGTTCTATCTGCACAATATGTCTACAAAAAAATCTATTCCATATTGACCATCACGATGATCAGATATTGAAGAATTATATCGACCAATCGCTCATTCATATGTTGATTCATTTTCGAATCTGAATGTTAGGGATATATCTAGAATGAATATTGCAACATATTCGAAATGGAGTCTGAAATTATATCCATTGCTAATATCCGTTCAATATCAAAAGACAATTTGAGTTGAAATTGGGTGACAGTATGGAGTTTTTTATCACTTGGAGCGCACGAAGTATATCTTCCTAATAGTTTCACGAGATATATTCATTTCATATTAAACATCACTATGCATAGTCATTGATGACACATATTCATTAATCTTCAACTGGAATGTTGTCACGACGTTGACTTTTAATATCAGCATTAGACTAGAGATAATTATCGGCACATACAGGGTGGCCCACGGTCGATGGTACCTTAGACGTATACGGAAAACGGTACATTGGATTATCCTGAAAATTCGGTTACTATAATAAGCGTTTGTGATCTAACGATAACCATCGACCGTTGACCACCCTGTATACAGAATAATATCGATCAATCATACACATACCATTCAGCTATAAACAGAGATTATGATATTGAATCACCATCGAAATTCAATCTTCTCAGTATACCTATATCTTAAGAAGATATTCATTCCATGTTGAACATCACTATGCTGGGAATATTGATAGATCATAATATGGATCACTCTCGCATTTGAATAATGAAATGATATTGATGTTCAATATTGCGAATTTGTTTGGAAATTGATATTGAAATTCAACCAGAATAATCCTCAAAATTTATATCGATGGTTTATATTCATATAGATATCGAGTGAGAATATGGTATTGGCAATTGAGATTCAAACTCCTTAATACATATACATACATATAATATTTGTTTCATATTGAACATCACTAAGCTGGCATATTATTTGATCAAATTGATCAATGTCTCATTTAACCGTTTATACAACAAAGATTTTTAGTGTTGTGAATATATTGAAAAGATATGTTGACATTTTGTATCGAGGAGGATGCCTGAAATTATATCGAAAGCTTATATACATATACAATATAATTATGTAGATATTGAGTTAGAAATGGATATTTCCAGAAGTCTACGAAATAAGACTGATTTCACATTGAATGCTACAATGTATATCGATTAACCTCACATACTGGAAAGTTTATGAGATAATATTCGATATTGAACCTATCTCAAAACGGCAATATCTCGAATTGGGAAACACTTTGTATGATAGTATATACAGTGGAATATATTCAATATCAACTTTTCAGATATACGTCGGTGTGTATAATAAAATAAAAAAATAATATCTCAAATTCTTATAAAGAGAAATATTCAAAAATTTATTTTTTTCCCATTCATTATGTCATTCTGAAGGCCTGGACTTCCTTCCCCCATCTCTATCTGCTGCTTGCGCAAATCAAGAACGAACATGCCTTAGGATGTCGTTCTCGCAGGCAGTAGGAATCACTACTCTTGTAGCGTCTGAAAATGTCGTATTTACTATAAGCTGAGTGATTCAACTCTTTTTTTGTGAAAATTGTAGTGAAGGGCAATGAATTTCCATTATTTTATATAGGTATTATGTTTGGTTGGCCGGTTCCCGTGTTACCCTATACATATTCAAGAATGAAAAATTTTGAAATAATCCCCTCTTCGAATTAGTTTTGTCACGTTTTTAAATCAGATTTTATATACAGGGTGTTTCATTGGGAAAGGAGAATAATTCAACTGTGGATAGGGGTCACTGGGGTGATTTAAAAAAACCCATGGTTAATGGATCTTCGACTTCTTTTAACCGAGATACAGGATGTTTCATCAATTTTGTCCATATCTTCATTGTCTCATAACTTTCCAACCAACCTGTATATATTTTCAAAAATTGTTACACTTGCTCAATCTACCCTGTGGAATTGATTGAGGCAACAACAAAAGATAAAATCCAGGTCCGGCCTCACTTAAAATTCACAAATTCTTTCTGCCAGAAAACAACACCCTATACATTCGAATTTCTCTTTCTTTTGCCATATCTGAAAATAACATCAAAATTTCTATTCAACGATGTGCTTTTTATTCGTGAACAGACGATTTTAACTATTGATATTATGTGCTCAAAATATTATTTTTGCTCATTTTGGGGTACAAAATTGGAATCAGACGAGATTTATGAATTTCATTACTTCCTATTCAGTATACGTGAGTATTACATTTAGAAGGAGTATTTCATATCGTTCTTTGTTCCAGACTCAGTTGCAGGTCCGTCATCAAAACTATACAGGGCTTTTCACGATGAGCGTTAATTTGACGTTTTCGGCAAACCAGGCAACGGATAAATCTGAAATTTCGATGGTGTGTATAAATTAACATAAACTACACTACTGGAATATTTGAAACGATCCGGCCTTGCTGCTTCTACTAGAAAGTAGCAGCAACTTCGATTTTTCAAATGGGACACCCTGTATTTCATTACATTCTTGGATTCTTGCTGAACAGCAGAATTCATCGATTCAAAACATTCAAGGTCTAGCGGGACTGATAACTGAGATATAGGATGTGGAAAATCGAGATGTTTCAACTTTAGAAATGTTTCGTGTTGAAACTATTTAATATTGCATGGTCAAAACGGCTTCAATGTCCCTATCTCAATTTTCCATTCGATATTCAATTGAAACAGATACAGGGTGGTGCAGAAAACTGAATTATGAACCATCCTGTATTTGTTTCGATTAAATGTCTATAGATACAAAGTTAAGATAGGAACATAAAAGCCGTTTTGATCAATAATAAATATTTTCGCAAAATAACTCCAAAGTTGAAACATCTCGATTTTTCCCACTCTAAATATCTCAGTTATTAGTCCCACTAGACCCCGAACTTTGTGAATCGATTAAATCAGCTCTTCAGGAAGCATCCAGGGTGTCCCATTTGAATAATCAAAGTTACTGCTACTTTACAAATACTTCAGACGTGTAGATCATGTTAATTCATATACATACAAGGGCGGATTTAGGGGGGGGGCACGGGGGCACGTGCCCCCCCCAGACGGTATTTTACTGTGGAGATTCCATCACATACTCAGAAGCTAACAGAAAGAATATGAGTGAAACTCTTGTCTATTTCTCAATTTCTGGCTGGAATTGCGAATTTGGTTCCTTGCATTGCATCCCTTTCACGCACTTGCAAATGAAATATGAGCGGTACGGTCGGAGGAGAGCGCGGGTCGGAGTGGGGCGCAAGCCGCGCAGGCGCGGGCGTCTTACGTCCGAGCTCACGTCACGTCTCATCGCTCATCGCATTGTGAGTCAGGACTCAGCTCGCGACAGAAGCAGCCGTGCAGCGTGCAGGTCATAGCCGGCCGAGTTTTTCATGCGCTTGTTATAATTAAATTACGTAAACTAAAATACAAATTTCGTTGTAGCCTACTTAGTTCAGTTCAGTGTAGTTTTAGCGAGTGAGAAGTAATATTACTGTATGTAATAAAATGAGTGATAAAGACAGGAAAAGACAAAAGAGCCTAAGTGCGTTTTTCTTTACCAAAAAACAAAAAACCGACGATGCAGTTGCAGATACAGGGAGAGGGATTGAATTTGGTGGTGTCACTGTCCCATGTTCATCCACGCATGCGGCAACTACATCAATGCCAAAAAACCCATCAGCAGCATCAGCCTCTACTAGTTACATGTTGCAGGAACGAGATATAGGTGGGTATCACAATCTTTGTTTATTCCAACATTTTATTTCTTGTATAGCTCGAGGAAGTTAATAATCTATTTTTATTTCAGGTACACTACTAATCAAACATCAGCAAGACGGGTTAGTTCTTACAGACGAAGAAAGGTACCAGTGGTTGAAAGATACTTGGCAACCTACAACAGACTTCAAGTTTCCACTGGTGCGTGAGGGAAAAAAGAACCGGTCTTTTCAAATAAGCTGGTTAAAGGGACATGAATGGCTAGCATACAGTAAAATTTCTGGTGGCGGATTGTGCAAAATGTGCATTCTTTTTGGTCGTAGTGAAGCGGGTACAAATGATGTGAAGCTGGGAAAATTGGTGTCGGAACCACTGACAAAATATAAAAAGGCAATCGAAACGATCACACACCACGAGAGCACGAGGTACCACCAAGCGAACGTGGTAGCATCTCAAAATTTTTTGAGGGTAATGGAGGGAAAATCAATGGATGTTGTTGTCCAAATGAGATCCCAGGAAATGAAAACTGTTGAAGAGAATCGTAAAAAACTTATACCTATTATAAAAACAATAATGTTATGTGGAAGGCAAAACATACCGTTAAGAGGTCACAGGGATGACGGTCGTTTAGAATCGGAAAGTTCTTACGGACACGGAGAAGGAAACTTTAGAGCGTTGCTAAAGTTCCGAATCGATGCTGGAGATGAGATACTGCATGAACACGTAAAAAAGTGTGCTAAAAACGCTTCCTACATCAGCAAGTCGACACAAAATGACTTAATTGAATGCTGTGGGGAATTAATCAGAAACAAAATAGTGAGAAAAATTAAAAAGTCTAAATATTTTACTATTATAGCTGATGAGACCACAGATGTTTCTGTTTGTGAGCAACTAACTATTTGTATTCGCTATTTCGATGTAGATACAAAGGAAATACAAGAAGACTTCCTAATGTTTGTCGAAGTCGTTAAACTTACTGGTGAAAACATTGCTCACCATATTTTGAAGGCGTTGGAAAACCTTAACCTGGACATTACATTGTGCCGGGGTCAAGCATATGATGGAGGAGCCAACATGAGCGGAAAAATAAAAGGTGTTCAGGCACGCATATCCAGCATTCAGCCTTTAGCCTTTTTTACCCACTGTGCAAGCCACCGACTCAACTTAGCTATTAGTACAGCCTGCACCGTACCCAGCATAAGAAATGCCGTAGGGGTTATCTCAAGTGTAGCAACTTTCTTTCGTGACTCAGCTCAACGAATACATCTCCTCAGAGAAGAAATGCAAGCTCATCTGCCAAAGGAAAAACAGAATACATTGAAAAAAATGTGTGAGACCAGATGGGTGGAAAGACATGAAGCGGTTTTGACATTTTTGGACGTCTTGCCATGTCTTCCTGAAATATTGCGAAAAATGGCTGATCAAGAGCAAGGAAACAGAAGAAGTGCTACATCTCCATTTTCGTTGCTCCAATCTATAATGTCGTCGGAATTTCTCATAAGCTTGGTCATCCTCTCTGATATTTTAGGAATCACGCTGTCCTTATCCCGATCATTACAAGCCATTGAAATAGATATACTTTCTGCAATTCAGCTTATCGATATGACCACAGCAAGTCTGCAGAGGCAACGTGAAACTAGCACGGACACATTCAAAAAACTTTTCAATCAGGCTGAGGCCATCGCAAATGAAATTGGTGCAGAAATCACGGTCCGCAGAATCACCGGCCGTCAAACAAATCGGCCGAACATTCAGACTCAGTCAGTTGAAGAATATTACCGACTTTCAGTGTATATTCCTTTTCTAGATTATATGTTGAATGAAATGAAATCCAGGTTCCCTAGCGCTCCAATGCAAAGAATCGGACAGTTGCAAAAGTTGCTGTCCCCTAACTTCAGCGACAAAGATGTAGAGGATGTTTTGCAAGGCGCTGAAATATATAAAGAAGACCTTCCTTGTTTTTTAGCTTTGAAGGGAGAGCTGAATATTTGGCAACAGATGAGAGAAAATATCCCAGTATCTCCAGCAGATGCCTACAAAAGAGCAAAGGTGCTGCCAAATATTAGAACTCTGTGTCAATTGCTATGCACGTTTCCAGTGACTACTAGCACTGCCGAGCGATCGTTCTCCACCTTACGCCGATTGAAGTCATACCTTCGCAACAGGATGACAGAAGAGCGTTTGAATGGATTGGCTTTAATGCATATCCATCAAGACGTTGCGGCAAAAATGGACGCTAATGAAGTGCTGGACATCTTCAGCAGGAAGCATAAAAGAAAATTGTCTTTATTAAACATTTAATTTTTTGGATACTTTCATGAACCTTCATATACATACTTGAACTTGTAGAAATAAACTTGAAGTTATTGTCGATTTTTTGCCCGTCTGCCCCTTGTGCCCCTCCCAGAAAAAAATCCTGGATCCGCCCTTGTATACATACCTTCGGATTTTTGGAATTATCCGTTGCCTGGTTTGCCAGAAACATCTAATCAATGCTTATCGTGAAAAGCCTTGTATAGTTTTGATGACGGACCTGCAACTGAGTCTGGAACAAAGAACGATATGAAATACTCCTTCTAAATGTAATACTCACGTATACTGAATAGGAAGTAATAAAATTAATAAATCTCGTCTGATTCCAATTTTGTACCCCAAAATGAGCAAAAATAATATTTTGAGCACATAATATGAATAGTTAAAATCGTCTGTGCACGAATGAAAAGCACATCGTTGAATAGAAATCTTGATGTTCTTTTCAGATATGGCAAAAAAAATGAGAAATTCGAATGTATAGGGTGTTGTTTTCTGGCAGAAAGAATTTGTGAATTTTAAGTGAAGCCGGACCTGGATTTCATCTTTTGTTGTTGCCTCAATCAATTCCACAGGGTAGATTGAGCAAGTGTACCAATTTTTAAAAATATATACAGGTTGGTTGGAATGTTATGAGACAATGAAGATATGGACAAAATTGATGAAACATCCTGTATCTCGGTTATAAGAAGACGAAGACCCATCAACCATGGGTTTTATGAAATCACCTCAGTGACCCCTATCCATAGTTAAATTATTTACCTTTCCCAATGAAACACCCTGTATAGAACTTGACGATCGAGCTCAAAAGCACTATTGCTCCACCCTGGATCTGTTCCAATTAAATATCAGTAAATAGTAAATCGATTGTTAAATCATAGATTAACGGGGGAGTCATTAATCTATGGTTGAATTAAGGACGAAAAAATCCAGAAATTAAAAATCTAGATATTGAACACCCTATACCTCTGTAATCATTTTCGCTGGACCTCAAGTGTTATGCATTTCTAAAACCAGCCTCCCACGGAAAATCTATAAATGCGAAAATATACAGGGTGTCCTATCCAAAAAAACACATAATCGGCCGATATATCTTGGAATGCTAACACCCTATAGATTTGAAAATAATTTTAGGTGACAGTTATCATGGAACATTATAATTTATAATTATTGTATTTGAATTTTTTCTATACTGAGTGTTTCCTAACTTGGGGCGATCAATGAAATGGATGATGGAGACGGAAAAACAAAACGAAATGAAAGAATACATTTTTGTCGAAAAAAATCATTTTGGAAGATATTGAGCTCCAAAGTTTGCCTGAAACTCTTGTAAATCATTGATAAAAGGTTAATAGCCCAATTCAAGCGTTAATTTGCTTTCTGCGAGATCACAAGCACCGGAAGTACCAATGACTTTTGCAATGTTGCTGGACGTTCAAAAATAGTTGAAAGATGAATTATGGTGTAAGCGCACATTTTTTGACAAAATTTCAGAACAAATTTTTTCTGTCTCATAAAACACCGCATTCCATTTATCGCCCCAACTTCGGAAACACCCTGTATATCTGACGTTTGGCTAATATCGAAGAAGAACATACTATCGCTTCACCCTGTTTAGGTAAGTACATATTATCCCATTTTCTATGATTTTCATAGATATCTCAGTTGTATTTGGATATACAGCGTTGCGGTTTTCACAATACTGTACAGTGTGTCCAGTTTTCGATGCTTTTGCCTGATATCTCAGTTATCTTTGGAGATAGAACCTTGCGGTTTGCGCGGTCCTGTGCTACTTTTTTGTGAAACTCAAGATGGCCTAATCAGATTTTGCAGGACTGTTTCCGTTTATGAGATTCAGGGCGATTTTGAAAATTTATACTTTTTGGACCACCTCTATATCTACGAAGTTTATCAGCGAAAATGTCAAATTAAATTCTTCACCTACAGAGAATTTTATGCACAATCCAGTGGCGCACAAAAAAACTTTTTTCGGGGTGTGGTTTTGAAAATACTACTCAAACTTATGATTTTTCAAATTGAACACCCTGTATTTTATAGGCTCATTGAATTCCTTATTTTTTCCCTTCGAGATGATATATGATTTTTCCCTTCGAAATGATATATGATGTATGAATATAACATCTTCAAAAATGTTAAAAAATCGCTAAAACATTGAATTTTAATAGTGGGCTATGGGTTTTTCGAGGGATTTTCATATAAAGAAATTTACAATTGAAGAAATATTCCCTTTGATTGTTCCATGAAGGAAGAAATAACAATATCAACACTAATTAACTTGCAATACACAAGACTTAGATACCTGATATCCACAAATATATAGTAATGAAAAGTTTATAATGTAGAATAAGCACCTGATTGAAAATTTACTGAAACAATTGAATTTCAAAATTATTCAGTGACTCATTCATTGAATTGTTCAAATTGATGTCCATATTTCATCACAAACTTTCTCAATACATATTGATCATTGAAAGATGTCTTTGTAATTCCTGGAAAACTGCCTCTGTTGTTGCACAAAGTTCTTCAAGTATGTTGGGCCACTCATTGTATTAAGAAGTATTGAGAAAAGTCTTTCAACTGTATGTCAGGTGCTTATTTTACATTATGAACTTTTTATTGCTATTTATTTGTTGCTATCAGGTACCCAAGTTTAGTGTTTTGTTAATATAATAAGTGTTGATATTAGTTTTGACCTCTCCATGGAAAAATTTGAGGAAATATTTCTTCAATTGAAGCGTTTTTCATAAGAAAAATCCATAACCAACTATCAAAATTCAATATTTTAGTGATTTTGAGCAATTTTGAAAATTTTATATCCATTCGTTATATATCATTTTGAAGACAAAAAAATAAGGAATTTAATGAGCTCATGAAATACAGGGTGTTCCATTCAAAAAGTCATAAGTTTGAGTCGTATCTCCAAAACCATACCCCGAAAAAAAAATTAAGTGCGCCACTGGATTATGCGTGAAATTCTTTATGCGATAAGATTTTGATTTGACATTTTTGTTGAGAAACTTCGTGGATATAGAGGGGGTCCAAAAAGTATAAATTTTCAAAATCGCCCTGTATCTCATAAACGGAAACAGTCTTGCAAAATCTGATTAGGCCATCTTGAGTTTCACAAAAAAGTGGCACAGGACCGCGAAAACCGCAAGGTTCTATCTCCAAAGATAACTGAGATATCAGGCAAAAGCATCGAAAACTGGACACACTGTACTATTTTAAAAAACCTGAGTCCAACTATACATGAACATACTAATATCTCATTTGAAAAGAATTTATGTTGGCTCCATTTTCTGAACAATAATCATTTATGGACGTCAAATAAATACGCCAGTGTATTCTACGTAAGAAAAGCAGAACTGTGAGAATTCTGTTTGCGGCCAGTGGCCGATCAAGGAAGCGGTAAAGGGAGAGATTATCCCTTGAGCCTCGTTGAAGATTGATATAAGAGAAGTGCATAGAAATCGGCCAGTGCTGTAACTTCTGAATCAATCGTGATAGGATTTCGAAATTTCGTGGGTAGCAACTAGGTATACCAAATTAATCATTTATTGATAAAATCACTTCTGTTTCAACCGAAATCAACCTCAACTTTTTATGTTTGAATAAGAAACCCTGTATATTCTTTCATATTCATCTTGGATTTCCTGTATGTACGTAAAAAATTTGTACCAAAGTTGGGCCAACAGGGCCAACATAAATAATTTAGTAATGTGAAAACCGCAACTCTCTATCTCCGAAGACAACTGAGAAAATCATCGATAATGTCACACATTGTATACCTACCCCGAGATCTAGGTACCTATATTGAAGTTTCATCATCGAACAATACTCATATGTTTCAAAAATCGCATTACCGTTAATAATAAAGCATCTATACTTAGGTAGGTATGTAGGTACAATATTTTGCCAAATCTAGGAATCCTATATTATACCATCATTATTCCCCAATATTGTACCAATAACTTCTCAACAATATTGTTTCGATATCGTGCTGGAATGAGACAACTGAGAAAATCATCGATAACGGAACACATTGTATATACCTACCCCGAGATCAAGGTACCTATTGAAGTTTCATCATCTAACAATACTCATATGTTTCGAAAATCGCATTACCGTTATCAATAAAGCATCTTCTATACTTAGGTATGTAGGTACAATATTTTACCAAATCTAGGGATCCTATATTATACCATCATTATTCTCCAATATTGTACCAATAACTTCTCAACAATATTGTTTCGATATCGTGCTGAAATGAGACAACTGAGAAAATCATCGACAATGGAACACATTGTATATACCTACCCCGAGATCTAGGTACCTATTGAAGTTTCATCATCTAACAATACTCATTATGTTTCGAAAATCGCATTATCGTTAATAATAAAGCATCTTCAATACTTAGGTATGTAGGTACAATATTTTGCCAAATCTAGGGATCCTATATTATTCCATCATTATTTCCCAATATTGTACCAATAACTTCTCAACAATATTGTTTCGATATCGTGCTGAAATGAGTAGGTACACATTGTGTGTGCTGCTGGATAACTTATGGCGAACACTGATGTGTACGTAACAAGAAAGTATCTACGATTTCACTTAGGTACATGGACTTCAGTACTCGAATGATATCAATAGGTTAACTTATACTTGTCACATAGTAAGTAGGTAAAGACATTTTTCTAACTGAACTAACAAACTGCACGAGGGCATCGAGGGGTCGAAAAAATTTTTAGATTTTGCAGCATCAGCACATGGTATGGCAAGGAAGAACATAATCAAAATTGTATCAAAGCTGAACTAGTATCAATAATTGGGATAAGTAATTTTACCTTATTATTTTTTGCACCACTGTTATAATATACCACTCGCGATCCACGCCACACGCTTGAAGACTCTATGAGACAACTGAAAGAACTGAGCTAGTGAGTGTCGAGCAAAGATAGTCACTCTAT